GGCACAATTTATATTCGATATGCCTCCTGTAAGATGATGTTATTAAGGTAGAGGAACCCGAAAGGCTACAAACCAAACTAATTCCCGATCTAACTATACTGCACAAGAACGTGACGACCGAAATTAACTTGAAAGAATTCGGATATCACAAACGCGTGAAGCGCGAGCGCGACATTCAACTTATAATCGCGCAAGTTTGAATAGAGCTGATTTCAGTAATGATGTGTCAATTGAATATAGTAACTATCAATGTGTTGCTATTGGATCAATGAACACGGTTTGCTCACATTGTAAGGCATTGAAATACAAAAACGAAGCCAATGGATTGTGTTGCACACATGGCAAAGTGCGATCGAAAAAATCGAATTATTGCTAATTCCAAATTGGTCCAGGCGTTGTTGAGTTATGCGCTTACCAACACATTTTGCGATTTATTTTTACACATAAGAAGACAAGAACGTAACCAGAATAGATGAGTTTGTGTGTTGTAATAAGTTGTTGATTATTGTAGGTATCTTTATTAAGTCCCCATGACTTCCTTTGCAGATCATTATCTCAAATATCCAAGCGAGCCACCCACTTTTTATATATTTGTCACCTTTAGGTTTCCACTGTCTCTTTACACTATTTTCCAATCAGGTTTGATCCCTAAGTTCTTAGTTTGAAATCCTCTGGCAGACATCCCAGTCGGGGTATTTAGTGGATCCCAAGATACTTTGGTCACCTGAGCTGAACCCCACACACCAGAGTGACTGTTCGGTTCAGGAGATTTTTTTATTCCGACTATAAAATAGGTAGGAACAAAAAAATGCCACATTCCAAATCTGTTTGACAGAACGAAGTCTGACGGGTCCGCTAGTATATATATATATATATACAGTACAGTTATATAATATATATAGTTCCCCAAAAATAATTCATGTAATATAGTTTATACATAATATAATGCATATATACATAACATAATAATTATATTATAATAACATATAATAATATTTTAATAATAATATTATATACACAGACATTTTAAAAGTATAATACGTGTATAAACATTTTAGTAAGAATTCGTTGATATTCATAAAAGATTATTATTTTGCTAAAGATTTGCTACAGTTAAGATTAAGATAAATCCATTATGTTTTAAAGTGTAATGCCTAAACAATATAAATTATGATCACGTTTGAGTTAATTTAAAAAATATTAAATTCAATGTTATTTCTATAAAAACACGTATCGTAATTTTTATATGCAGTAATATCCAATTCTAAAATGATTTAAATGATATTCAACAGAAATGTAATAAACTCTTTATATTCATAATCTACTAATCCTAATTTATAATTTAGATTTCAGATATATTTAATTTTTCTATAAAAATATGTAATCGTGTTGTCATTCAGTTCTGATTATTAACTTTATGTAAAATTTATGGAATGAAATTATCCGGATTTTCTTAGTCCAAGAATTATTTACAAAAAGTTTGTTTTGAATTTCTATGAGTCTATTTTAAAAACTTTAAACTAGTTAGACAGACTGCCGAACACCACTTAATTAACATATCTCTCTTTTGGAACTCTGATGCCTTCTATACATTATCATCTTAAGAAACTTAATATTGTTTTTTCACACTGTATTTAAAATATGCAAAAGCAAAGGACAGCCGCAACATCATATTTAGTGACGAAGGTGTGACATAAGCCATTAATTCGGATCACTTTAATCGCACAACTAGATGATAACCAGTTTTTTTGCGGGAAATAGAAGATATGGATGTGACAGACACATAGTTTTGGCAAGACGATACCACGAGCAGTGTTCTGGCAAGACGATCATGTTGAAGTGTTCTGTTTGCTACAGAAGTAATTTGATGTTTTGGTCATGAGATGTGTTACCACTGCATCTTTTGCAGCATCTCTTTTATGTAAACGATCTTCAAAGTCTCGATGGCTTGAGGGAAAACACCACTTAAATTACAGACAAGAAGTTGTCAACTAAGTGCTGACAAGTCGCCAAAAATTAACTCGAAATGTTTTACTACTGTAAGATGCATCGTATAAAATGAATAACCCTGTATTATAATGTTTTTATTTTAGTTTATTTTTTAAAGGATGAAAATGTACGTGTAACTATATAAAAGATCTAATAAACTTGCAGTTGTTCTATAAATAGTTCAAATAGCCTATAACTTTTCCTTAATCTATTTCAGTTTAACTAAACGTATCCAATAACAGCAGTTTTAAAATGTTTTTTAGATTACCTATTATTTTATTTTTTAGTTCACAAATAAATCTATTAACTGTATATATTGTATATGGGACATTCATTTACAAATCGGACGAATTTTGGCAAAAAATGACCTCATAATCTCCGATTTGGCTGAAAACTTTTTTATGAGCGCCTTTCATAAAATAAGAAGACCCATAACTCGGGAAAAATTGTGAAATTTTTTCCGTAGGAGATATGAACCCATAGGGTTTTGAGAATATATCACGCTATTTAAATGATAAAAACTTAAAATTTGTTGCATTTTTAAGATAATTGATTGAACTTTCAAGAAATTGTTTAAACTATTAAGATTATTTGTACTTAAGTACTAATATTAACCGTTAAATTTAAAAAAAAAATTTTTTTCAGAACACGTTACCGGAATTATCATTTTTTATTTTTTATTTAGATTCAGTTTTAAATTTCAAAAGATTCAAATTTAAAAAGCCAATGATCGCTAGAAAAACATGTAACTTGAGCGGTTTTCAACTTTTACAAATGTGTTGAAAACAATCAATTGGGAATAAAGATTGCTTATCCGTAAAAATTGATGGAAAAGATACTCAAATGCAAAACCGACCGTAAATTGAAAGCGCTGCATAATATTTTTAAACTAAACCATCCAGACCTCAAATGTGGTTCTTCTAAATTTGCATGTCTACGACGACAGTATTGCGCTTTTGCAAGAACAAGTGGCACATATACACGAAAACGCAAAATAAATTATGAATGGAGTATGTATATATAAAATCACTAAATGCATGTACTATAGATCCGTTACATGACTAAAAAGATTATCTACACATACATGGTTCGCATACTTACTGTTACATACAGAATGTTTTTCAAGAACTTGCGGCAAAAGTCCTGGAACTGTAAACATCAACCAACAACTTCCGGAGATCTTTGATGATAACAATATTGAAACTGTTATATATAAATAAAGGGTCCGTCAAGCTGGAACCACACTTAAAGTTTTGACATCTCCAGTTAAAGAATGTACAGAATCCTTAAAGGGGAGTTTAGACAAGTTGCTGTTGCCTTCTCTATTGTTAAAAAACATGCAGATATTCTGAAGAACACGAAAAACAACTTAGCAGAAAGTGAATGCAATGTTTGATGTGATTTTTGTAAATATTATGCTTTTCAGATTCAATACTCTGTACTAGGCATTTAGTAGTAGAATGACCAGGCAACAATTTATCCGTTTGCAATATACTACCATGATGAAAATAAACAACTACATGTAAAAACTTGTGTCTGCATATTTAACCTTTTACATTATAACTCAATTACCGTTCATTTATTCTAAAAACACGCTGTCAAAATCATTAAAAGAATTAGTAAGGATAGAAAAAAATTACTTATTTGTCCGCCGGATCGGGATCACAATATAAAAATAAAAAAAATTGTATTAGCCTCTTCGCAAAGGGGATTTTGGTTTTAAGACAAAATGATGTTTTCTCCCAAGTTCCTACGGCAAAGCACCTTCCAACGGCTTAGCTGGAACATTAAAGAGGAATGCTAGCCTTCAAGAGGTAGACTTCAACGCATACATAATCCAATCCAAACATCGAAGGAATTATTTAACTGGGCTAACGAATGTTTGCCAAATATTGTGTGCCATTTCTCAATATTAAGATTATTAATAAAATCAATGTTGAAACCATTAAAAAATATTTTATTTACAATTCTTTACAGCTTATTTCCCATAACATTTCTGGCCTCTGCAGAGTTTTTTCCAACTATAGTAGAATACCACTTCACTTCACTATCGTCTGGAAATATTATATTTTTAGTGTATTCTTTGAAAATTTGTTCAATGGAAATATAGTACGTATGTGTTTGATGTGTTTTGCGAGAGAAAAAAAAATTTAAAAAATTTCAGAAAATAATATCATCCTAAAAATTTTTATTTTGCAGTAAAATTTAAAACTGAATCCAAATAAAATGTAAAAAATGAAAATTCCGGGGAACAGGTTTTGAAAAAAAAATTTTTTTGCTACACTGTAAAGAACCCACAATAGCATATCTCGAATCTTTTTCTTTTTACCGTTAGCTATTGAGATTTGTGTGTAATGTATTACCTAAATTCAGACTTATAGTGTACATCATTTCAATTAACTTGAACGTTGGAACAATTGTTACTGCTTAAAGCATAATGGAGGGAAGTGAATTGCTTACAATGACTGCTGGTAATACTTATGCGAGGGACTTGTAGTTTTTAATATAAATATTTCTTAAAGATAAAGACGTTAACGTGTTGGTAAGTGTTAAAAATGATAAATAAAAGTACATTATTTTACTATAAATTAATATAAAATTGTGTATGTAATGTTTATATAGCATTATAGCATTTATATAGCATGATAATCAGGTCAAGAAAAAACGCAGTAATCAGGTCAAAAGTTATACTCGTCTCTTATTTGACATTTCTTTTACTTATTACTTAGTTGAATATTTGGATCAATGAACATAATTTACTTCGTAAACCATATAAGGATTTAATAATTTAATAGTTACAGACTCTATTCTAAAAATTTCTCAACACTTAATAAAAATCTTAAACTATTATCGCCCCTTTTCGTTTAGCTTCTTCATTTTATTTTACGAGCAAACAATTAAATTAAATCACCTCTGCCCTGAAAATTACTTTATAGTGACTGCATTGAGGCATACATACTCGTACGCTTCCACAAGCGTGGACGTGTCTTATGCTAAAATTGCTAACTCACCTTTCCGTAGCTATTTTGTGGACCATTAATCCAACGATCTGCTTCTAAACGTCCTGTAAGCAATGCGCCTGTATTGGGATCAATGCGTTGCCATTCACGCACTTCACGTTGAAATGGGGAACGTGCACCATCAGCAACATTGCCACCGCCGCCAGCGTCGGCGCTGTTGCCATTACTTCTTACGCTCAATGTACTTTCTGGTATGTTGACTTGATTGCCATGTTGTTGATGGGTTTTATTTTGATTCTTTACAACTACTTCCATTTTGTTAATAAACTATAGGCTTCTTCTTCTTTCCTATGCATGCAAGTTCAGCGATAATTCGTTTGCTTGCCTGCCTGGGCTCCACTACGAAGCTTGCTTACAACTGCGCTACCGAAAACTCTTGAAAATCTCACGGGGCTGTATAGTTGATACAAGTGTTTTAGTGTTAGAATCTTACATTTACTGTTAAGTCATACTAGTTTTGTTATTCCATGAAATTATTATTTATTATTACAATCGTTTTCGTTTTTTGCGATCTCTTATTTTTTTCACTAAATTAATAGCAAGTTTAATTTATTATCATTAGTCCTCGTGTTCGCCGTAGTAATAAACTATTTCTGTACTACATCTGTTGCTGTTGGTGATGCCTTTCTGAGCTTATAATTTAGCCACCACTATTGCTACCGTATTCACTTGGTTGTGCACTTTTTGTTGTTAGTTGCGCCACTGAATTATTTCTGCTGTGATATGCCGACGGTCGTAAGTTGTGGGTGCAGATATTATACTAAAAATAATAAAATAAAACTACATTAATGACTTTGTAAATTTTTGTTAATAATTAAGAATGTTTACTTTTTCTGTTTTTATCATTTATCGAAATTATCAGAACGTTTTTATCTATTGGAGTTTTCGAATAATAAATCTGGATTCAATCTGGATTTACTCTGGATCAATCAAATTTTGTTGCCCAAGCGAACATATTTAGAGTAATCTAAAGTTTTTGTAGTTGCATTAGTAAATAAACCACTTGAATTTTCACCGAGCAGTTTTTTATGAAACAATTGTTGCTAGTCACTAGTACACGCAGTAGTCCAAAGGAACTAGTGAAATGAGTGGTCTGGGGAGATGAATTATATCACCACTTAGAATATATAAATTTCTCAATACTTTTTTTGTACAAAAATACTTTTTTTTTGTGCAATATATTATTTTTGAACAAGAGAAAATCAAAACAAATGGTGAACACAGAAATTCAACCACATATAAGAGTTATTTATTTTGGAACTACTGCATATTCTGACCCCTGGTAATGCAACGATCCACCAGTTGAAACGAAAATCCATAGCTTATGCCTGTTGAGTATAAACAAATTGAGAGCAATATGCTTCGTCCTCTTGTTTTTAATCTTATGCTCCTACATTTGGCGAATTAGTAAAAACATACAATTAAACCTATCTATAGCGAAGTCGTTGGTGCCTACAAAAAACTTCGTTATAGAGAAGTCTTCGTTATAGAGAGGTCTTCGTTATAGAGAGGTTGAACAAAATTTTTTTTGTTTGAATTTTTTTTATTTTTTGCATTTGACTGAGGAATATGTACGTTTTTATTTTAAAAATATATTTAATTCATGTTTATTCATATGTATATATACATAACAATAAAAACATAAATTGTATATTGATAAGCCTATAATTTTAGTTTGTTTAGACATTTTGACTTTTTCCTTATTAAGGAACTCTTCCAAATCTTCTAACAAGTTAATAGCTTGCATACAAAGAAGTTTCTCATAAGTTACAATATATTAGTTGAATGTTTAACTTGTATTTGAATAAATTCGTTATAGAGAGGTTTTTTTGTATGCAAAAATTTGTTTGCGTACCTGAAAAAACTTCGTTATAGAGAGGAATTCGCTATAGAGAGGTTCGATATAAAGAGATTCGTTATAGAGAGGTTCAAATATATGAAAATCGTTGTGTCTTCGACAAAACTTCGTTATAGAGAGGAATTCGTTATAGGGAGGTTCGCTATAGAGAGGTTTGACTGTACAATAATATGCTTAGTGGACTGTGAACCTATGAATAAAGAAAATCAAATAATCTTAACATATATCGATTTTAAATATGTTGGTCTTACTTTCGATAAATATCGCTTTAATGCTACTTTATTGCAAATAATTTTAAAACAGTACGGTATACATAAGTCATTACAACACTCTGCGATGAATACGAATGTATGTGTCCAAACTCGATGTAAGTGCCAAATTCAGTTAAAATAATATATAAAAATATATCAAATTTGCAACAATGTTGCAACATCATCTGTAGATCATCAGTGAAATTCCTAGACGATCTGATTTAACTACAGCACAATCAGCTAGAAAGTAATTTATTAATATAAAAAAATTTAATAAATATATATATACACATATTAAAATAAATATATATATAATAATATATAAAATGCATGTTTTATTTATTATTTATTATTTTCTAAATCAGGAACTAGTAAAAATACTAGTGTATTGTACGGGGACAATTGACATCGGCAATGACAACTCAATGTAAAATTTAGCAGTTGAGCCCACGTAAAGTGGATTATGTAGCAACTAGTACTATACACCTGAGGACTAGTAAATTCACTAGTTCAGAACTAGTCGCAGGCGGGGCTGGGAATATTCACACTAACTTATTTTTCTGTGTAGTTGTTCACAATATTCACAATAAAATCTTCAACTATACCTTTTTCGTTTTTGCAAATGGTAACAAGTTGAAAAGTATATCTTCGTCTGAAGTTTCGTCGTCAGATGACAATGCATTTGCGCCGAAATGTGCTTTTATTTTGATTTTGTTTGTTTTTTCAAAACGATACCTAAATATATAAACAAACAAATTGGGCACATGTGGAAACTAATCACTGTCAAATCATGTAAAACAGCTGTTAATTTCAGGGTCATCCTGCAACTCTGCAAAAATATCCAGAGTGTTAAAAAATTATTTGGAGTGTTATAAGTTAACAACGCAAACATTGAAGCGCTCTTATTTTACTAACACACCTTATACTAAATACGCTTTATACATTATAAGCAAATAATAAATTATTTTTTAATAAATATTATTGTAAATATTCTTATTTATTTATTTTAATACATTATTAATTATAGAATATTAATCATAAAATTAACTTAAAATCGATTTCCAGATACTACGTCCATATAAGATCATATTTTCTTTTTGCATTCTTATGCTGTACTGAAATACCAATAAATTTGAAATCAGTTTTCGAAAGCTTTACATAGAGAGCGAAAGCTTTTATCCTTTAAAATAGAATGAAATTTTGCATATTAGCCGAAAAAATTTCGATTGTATATGAGAAATCACGAGCAATATTGTCAAAAAATCAAAATATTTTGATTTCTATCCAACTTCTTGTCGTCAGACCTGCAAATATTGCAGGTCATAAGCAGATTCCGCATCTTCTGTTCATTCCAATTGAGTTTTGGCATTCTTTTTATTCGTTTTTATAAGTTTCTGCATCATATTTTGAGTTTCGGCTGTACCAGGTATGAAACGTCGATAGAAATTAACCGTAGTTTTAACTCCTGAACCGTGTTTGGCTTTGAGAGAAGTTTAGTAGTGTTTCTACTCTCTCCTTTGGTGGACGTAAGCCCAACTGTCAAACAAACTGTAATAATACTGAACTTGTTTTTGTATATAGGTACTTTTTATTTCTGAAAATTAAAAAACAAATAAAATAATATCGATTTTTTTCGGTCTTCTGTTTAGTAGCGGTTCAAATGATATTCTATAGTAATACATTAAATGTAGACCTGCATATTTAGACGCAACTGTTACCAAAACAGTGTTACCAAAATATCATCCTAATTTCAAAAAAAAAAAAATTTAACTTTTGCAATAGTTTTTATATTTTATTTTCAGCAAAAATTGCGTAATATTTATTAATAAAAAGAATATTGAAATAATTCTGGAACGCAGATTCATTGGCAAAGTAACAACATCGACATCATCGACATCATCACTGTTTAAGCCTTGCCTTTTTTGTGTTGTTCTGTGTAAGTAGCTTAATTATATTAAATTACCCGAAATTAAAATTATATTAAAACCAAGAAAATAAAAAAACAAATTAATTTTTAGGTATTTTAATAATACGAAAACCTGTTGCCCGACTCACATGGACTCACATGCGTGCCAAATTCAGTGCAAATAGACGCGTTGAAAAAGCAGATAACGCAATTGTAGAGCATTTGGAAAATGAGTGCACAAGTTCAGTATTACCTCAGCAAATTACGCTAAATCAAGAAGTACATATCCATACACACACACACACACACATATATATATATATACGCATGTTGGTACGAGTACATATGGTATGTATAGTAGGTAAAAAGTTGAAGCATTAAAGTTGTTAAGACCAGGCGAGTAGCAGTAGTGCGTAATGTCGAGTGACTTGTACGTGTAGCAGCACACATGACTGCTTTGTACTAGTTCAGCTCCAACTTCAGCTTTGGCTTTGGCTTTGGCTTTGAGTTGGTGGTCCCGGCTTGATTTATTCATTTGCGCTGCTGTCTGCTTGGTTGGTTGGTTTCGACGTTTTCGTTTTACTCGTAGTTATGAGGAAGTATTAAATTAGCATTTTAATAGTTACTAAAACATAATTACAAAAAAAAACTGCTCACAAGAATAAATAGCAATTGTACAGTTATATATGTGGATCATACGGGAAATACTCGTTCATGTCTTGTGCGATTGTAAGCACGTTAGGTGATAAAAATGTGGTAAAGTTACTTTCGTTCACAATAAAATTAAATGAAAAAAGAAAAACTGTAAATATAAGAATAAAATAAATAAAATACTTAAATGAAAAAAGAGAAGACAAACTGCGTTCGTTTATTTTTCATAAACTCTTCACAGTTTTTAGTATTCCGAAAATCAGTAATTAGTTCACAAATCAGTAAGATATACATATATATATCATACTAATACCTTATGATCAAAAAAAACGAGAATTTAAAAAAAAAAACCCAAAATTTTAATTTTTAATAATTTTCTTTATTATCGCCTTTAAAGTACTCTCCTCTTGCGGCAATACATGCATGCCAACGCTTGATCCAATTTTCCATACAAGTTTTATAGGCCGCCGAAGGTATGACCTTTAGTTCACGCAGCGAATTCTCTTTTATGGCCTCTATGGTCTCAAAACGCGTTCCTTGCAATGGCAATTTGAGTCGGGGGAAGAGGAAAAAGTCACACGGGGCCATATCTGGAGAGTACGATGCTCGGTGCTTGGTTGATGATATTGGTGGAGTTTTTGGCCAAAAACAGCGACACAACCAACGCTGTGTGTGCCGGTGCGTTATCGTGGTGTGAAATTCATGAGTTTTCCTTCCTCACGCAAACGACGCATAACAGCCAAATAATACTCCTTATTGACCTTTTGACTATTTGATCGTCCGGAAGGAATTCATAGTGCAGCAAACCACGAATATCGAAGAAAACAGTCAGCATAACCTTGATTTTGGACCGACTTTGGCGATCTCTTTTCGGTTTCGGCTCAACTTCGAAGCACCATTCGGTCGATTGTTGTTTGGTGGGCATGTCAAATTCATAGACCCGTGTCTCATCACCAGTTATGATGTTTTCGATGAATGTGGGATGTGGGGTGACTATCTGCGTTGGAAATCATTTCGTTGACCATATCACAACGACGTTTTTTTTTGAATGAAATTCAGCTAAAAATGGCCACACTAACATTTTTCGACTTCTTTGTATAGACGCCAAACAAAAACTAATCGTACGATATGCGTTAAACTTTGACAAAATGTGTATAATAGTGTTGCCAGCGTGAAAATAAAAAAAATTACCAATTGAATAACCGCGGGAATTCAAGAAATTCAAAATTCTCGATCTTTTTTGATCACAAGATATATCACAATTCTCTAAAACTATTATGTAGCACTATCTTCCTAACAAAGTTATACACACTCTCGATTTAACTAATAACCGATGTAAAGTTCCTTCCAAATTACGAATCAAATAATATTGTCTTGATTATTGTAAATAAGGAATACACCCAAAATGGTTCTTCTAAGTGACGAGTATATGCCATATAAAATTCAGTTCCTTACTAAAGTAAAACATATATTTTATTATGTGAACTTAATTAACTAATCCAGTTAACTTAAATACAAAAAATAGGGAAATTTCTTAATCCAAATAAATCTTGAATCTTGAAAGACAACAAAGACCTGATAATACGAATTAAGCACAAATCAAGCACAAGGAAATAATAACAAGTGTTAATATCCACATCGAATGAACAATTTAAATGATAAATATATATGAATGGAAAATAATACTACTAAACAAGTTACAAGAAATGGCCGTAGACTAAAGTCGAAGTGCAATTAGGGGGGAAGGGGTCCCTGTGCAGAAGGTGCCCTGACACAAAGGTAAAATTAGAGAGAGTGGTGGCACCAATTTACTTATATATGTTATATACATACTTATTTTAGTGCCACCTCTCTCTCCCTCTAATTTCACCTTTGTGTCAGGGCACCTTCTGCACAGGGACCCCCTAATTGCACTTCGACTTTAGTCTACGGCCACTTCTTGTATATATACAGTAGAATCGCGGAAAAGTTAACTCTCGAAAAAGTTAATCTCGCGGAAAAGTTAACAGCATTTCGGCGTCCACGTAGCGCTCTAAAAAGTTAACTTCGAAGTTAACTTTTCCGAGCGTATGAATTTTTTTTTTGAAATCAACCGTTTTTTTGCCGACACAAGCCAGTGCGAGCTCTAGTTTTGATTATGGGTATTCCCCGAATATTCTATTTTCTTTCTGTTTTGTTTTGTGCTCCAAACATATGTTTTCATTCTTGTCGCAAATTACCTTGATTGAATTGTTCGGTAGCGTTTGAGTTGATTAGTTGTGAATTTTTTAAATTAAATTTGCAACAAAAAGTAGATATATTAAGAAAACTTGATGACGGTATTGCGGGAAATCGAATAGCGCTGCATTATGGTGTGTCTAAAGTAGCCATCAGTAAAATAAACAAAAAACGCCAAGAAATTTTAAAAACAGTGGCGGCCACTTATGGAAGTGCAGAGAAGAAAACACTCCATAAGTCGGAATATCCTGATCTGGAGGTAAACTTGTACAATTGGTTCCTGAATCAACGGCAGCGTAATTGTGCAGTGACTGGTGCCATCTTAAAATCAAGAGCTAAACTCGAATTTGAAATTCTGTATCCGGGAAAAAAATTTAGTGCAAGTGATGGATGGCTGGCAAATTTTAAAAAACGGCACGGTATTCGCCTTCTCAAAATTTGTGGGGAAATTCTTTCGAGCGATACACCGAAAATAACTCCGTTTGTACATAGTCTACGAGCAAAAATCAATGAAATGGGCATCTCCGACTCCCAACTATATAACGCAGATGAATCTGGACTATTTTATCGTTTATTACCGGACAAAACATTTGTCGCAGCAAACGAACATGCCGCACCGGGAAGAAAAACTGTTAAGGAAAGAATTACATTTTTGTTGTGTGCAAACGCAGATGGTTCGCACAAGTTGAAGCCGTTGGTGGTCGGTAAATCTGCAAAACCACGTTGCTTTAAGGAATTTAACAATCCATTGGAATACGCTCATACAAGCAAGTCGTGGATGAATGCACAGTTATTCTTCAACTGGTTCCACAATTCATTTATAAAACAGGTAAACTTATTTTTTGGTTTCATTTTTCATTTCTAATGAACATGACATAAAAATTTTTGAAGGTTCGCAAATTTTCTGTTGAAAATAATTTACCACCAAAGGCATTGTTGCTAATAGACAACTGCACGGCACATAAGCCAATTGACAGGCTGAAGTCTGACGATGGAAACATTGTAGCCATGCATCTACCACCGAACGTAACAGCGGCTTTGCAGCCAATGGATCAAAATCCCATAAGATTGGTTAAATTAGGATATCGCTCCAAATTGTTATGCAACATTGCCGCGCAAGAAAACGTTCTGGTGGAAAATATTTTGAAGGCACATTCAATTTGTGACGCCATATCGCTACTTAATTCAGCATGGGAAGAATTGCCGCAATCAATTCTTATAAAAGCGTGGAATAAGATAAAAAAGTGGGATGATGATCAATACGATAGTGAAGATGATCTTCCGTTGTCCAAATTTATTAAAGCAAACGATGTTTACGACGATACAGTTCGAGAAGTTCAATCGTTAATGTTGAAAGTGGGAAATAATCTTAACATCAGCATTGACGATATAGAAAATTGGAACAAGGATGAAATTACGGAAGATATGGAACATTTCGAAGTGTGTGATAGTGACAATGATGATTCAATTACCGAGGAAGATATTCAACAACCGAAAGTGAGTTTCTCGAAAGCAGTTGAAAGCATCAATACCTTGATAAAATGGTCCAAAGACAACAACGATGCAAATCAGGTGGCAGACCTTATCAGTATGCGCACAAAAATGGTCAAGAATTATTACACCAAAGAAAAAAAACAAACAACTCTCGACTGCTTTTTTAAACCACCTGGTACAAATTAACAATTTTCCTTTTGTAATGGCTAAAACATAAACAAAAAAAAAAAGGAGCTATTTCTAAGCAAATCTATGCTTATTATTGTAGTTTTTTCTTTTTTTTATGAATTTTGAAAACCGCTTGGAAAAGTTAACAATCTCGAAAAAGTTAACAACCCCAAAACGGAGCGGTTAACTTTTCCGCGATTCTACTGTATATTCATTTAACGTATTATATATATTACGTATATATCTTACACATGCTATTATTAGTTAAATCGAAAAATTCAAGTCAAATAAATAGTTTTTAGTAGTCAAGTAATTATTTTTTGATAATTATTTGTTTAAGAAACTGAAATTTGTTTGTAAAATATTTTTTTTGTAAAAGTTTTGTTCTTGTTTTGTTAATTCAATATTTACATGGAATGTTCATTGTTAGCTTTACCCCATTGCGTTTAATAATTTATTAAACAAAAATTTTTTGATGTAACACACATTTTATTATTAAAAAATATAAATTTCTGTTTATACTGTTTATACTTGAAATAATCAAAATCATATAAGGCAATGTTGAGCCTTTACCGAGTTAGTACATCTGGGCACTTTTACTCTTTGATAGCTAGGAAGTTTGTGAAGAGTCCCACCCATCTCACTGACAAATTTGAGTATTCCTCATATTCTTCGTGATTATTCAATGACTGATCTAAGATCTGCGTACCGCCCCGTACGGTTAATGATTACTCTGAGATTAGATAGTGCTAAGTCTGTTGGTTTTCGCTTATAGCTTCAGAGCTCTGTCCTCGCATAAGGTGATGAAATTTAAAATTCCCTAAAAAAGTTTTAGTAATACTTTTATACGTAAGGCATTGGCACTTTTAATTTAAAGACAATCAATTTCTTAGCAGATTTAAAAAAATTAAATTAAATCATTTAAATTTAAAATTATTGCGTCACCTAATGTTTCAAAATTGGGACTCTTATCTTTGGAATGATGTACTAAATGTACAAAATTATTTGAATGCAAAGTTTCTGTAAGTAAGAATAATTAAATAACTTAATTGCATAAAATATTCAAACACCCTCACACAACGTAAATAGTATTGCACTGACGAAAGCATGATACTCAGTAGTTCGGCCTCGTGAAAAAGTATAGACACTAAGCTACACCCCCAACGGTTTTTTCTTGGCGTGCTTGAAACTAAAAACGTAAAATGTATCTGTAAACTTATATGAACTCTCCTTCCGTATTAAAATATTGAAAAATATTGAAAATATTTAAAAATCTAGCGATATTTATGGTCAGACCGATAGACAGACAGGCATAAAGTGTATATGTTGCTCTTAAGTGCTTACAATATGGAAAAGAAACAAAACGCGCTTTGTGGTTGATGATTTAATTTATTAAAAAAATATATATCTATTAAATGCACGCAAAATGTAATTATTTCTTATTTGGTTTTTTTAAAGGAAATCCACACACAAGCTTCCGTGTTAAGATTTTGTTTTAAAAACAAAATCAAGAAAAAAATGAGACGTAAAACGAATAAAAAATAACTAAGAAAATGATTTGTAAAAAATTATAAAATAATTATCTACGTTTTATACACTCTATATTAAGATGATATTATGCGATGTGGACCAATACTATAAGAAAATCAAAGATTAGTGTAATTCAAACGGCAGTATTATCATATGAAATTATGACAATATGAATAAAGGTAACATATTAAGGTAATATCATCCCAAATATATATGACACTGTTATGTGTGCACCAGGCACTGGCAGACTAAATCATTCTCCTTATCACACCCAAAATTATGATATTGATTATTTGGAAAAGTATTTCTTATCATCATATTTGATAGCCTATAGTATAATGACCAATTAGTATGCACAGAAGACAAGTCATTCTATGAGTAATCTAGATAAATACAAGCTCTTTTATACTTCTTATATTATATTCTAGTAGTAGTAGGTTTGATTGAATTTATGTCTCAAATTACATTTTTGTTTTGTTCGGGGTCTTACTATCCAAGCTAATAGCACTTAGGTTCACAATACTAAGTGTTCATGGCATAGTATGCAAGAGAACCGTGCGAGAAATTAATACGACCAGTAAGCCTGCTGATTGCTAATTTTTTTCCAAAATTTTAAACCTGTGTGAAGTAGATTTTATTATACAAATAATATCCCAATCAAATTATAAATACCATGTTAGGTGGTTATCAATTTTTTTAGTTTCATTACCAAGTATCGACCACAATTGTATTCACAGTTCACAAGGCAACCAAACTTCACTTGGAATAGGGAAACTACGTGGGTAACAACTTTACTACTAGGTCTTATATATCTTCCTTAGATTCTTGCAAATTAATCAGATTGCAGATTTTATAACACTATAATAGTTTGTACAGTGAAAACTCTGTTCTACAGATGCTCTTATGGTGGTAACCACATGCATATGTCTTTGATATCTGTCAAAGTCAACAGTTGTTGTTGTGTATAAAAACTAGAAGGATAGGATATTCAAAAAAGTTGTAGTAAAGATGCCGAAGAAGGCAGTCGTCTAATAATTTAATATTATAATAAAATAATCCGTTGTCTAATAATTTAATATTATAATAACATAACATTTATTGTCTTGCTTAACCGTACAATTTTATTAGTCTCCAGTCTTTAACGTTCATTTGAAGTGCTTTCTTTTAAGCAGATAGTGCTTTTAACCAGGCAGAAATACCAGGCCTACGGATGTTTGCTTAAGACAGTTTTCACTGTAAAATAATGGAAATAATTCGATTTGAAATTTGGTGCCGGGGCTTTATTAACAATTAAACCTGAACTAGCGGCAGTTTTGGCTGTTGAAAATTTTGCAGATCACTTAAAGTATCATTTAAAATATATTTTTTTTATTCAACTTTACTTAATGGTGGCTGTCAATTTCTATATGCTGTGTATGCATATTTATACTTATATGTATTGATTTCTATTTATATAAAACTACAAAAAATGATCATTTTTTAAAATGTATAGCGTGCTTTTAAAGTAAATGTATTAATTTCAATGAAGCTTGATTGGCTGTTAACTTAAATTTTATGGATAAGTGAATAATTTTTAAATAAATTTTACATAAAACAGAAAATTCTAACAAATTAGAAGACATCTTTCAATATTTGCAAGTTCCTAGAAAATTGAATGGATTTAATCTGATATCGACGTCTTTCTCTGCTCTGATCTAAGAGTTACATTTAGAAGTATGGAGAAGTAAGTTGTTAATTAAATTGTAAATAATTTATTAATTTATATAGTTTTAAGGATCGAAATGAAACAAAAATTGTTCATAAATCCGTACAAGTTGGCTTCATATGTTGGTATAGCTTATCTTGCTATTCACTCGTTGGAAATGTAAGTAGAATAACTGATACACCTATACTCTATAAATATACATATATATGAAGAATAATGTAGTAGATTAGATTGTTAAAACTATTAAAACTAATTCGAGTTTACTAGTCAGCAACAAAATATTCGGTGAATAATTGCAGATATCATGACTGAACATATCTTACAAAAGAAGTGAATAAATTCCTAGGCAAAAAAAAAAACAAAATTGAAAGACATTTGAAATTCTCATTGTCGTTGCTAAAGTCTTTATTTTATTTCATTGGCTTACGCGATTTTGATATGCGAGTTTGTATATTAATTAAATTTCCATACACGTAACGTTACGTTCGTGTCCATGTAATGAGGCAAATTCTAGAGTAAGAAATTATACTGGAGGACGCGACAAATATGTACACGAATAAATTAGAATGTTTCTTCATCAATCCACATCGTGGCTTAGTGTCTTTACTTGCATCTGAAATTGAGGACACATTTGCTAGTGGAAATTGTAAAAAACACATTTAAATCACTTTGAACAATCCATAAAAATGTCATAAAGTGTCTCACAGCATTTTCGAAAATATCGGTCATTTCTGACACGTCGATCGCTTTATTTTGAAACGATTTTTTTTTTGTTTTTTTTGTTGCAGATTTAGGTATATGTGTGATTTATATGTGATTATTTATTTATTGGTTAACTGTAACATAATTGTCATAGTTGTGAATGAAACTATTAACCACTGAAGTAAAATGATACTTTATACATGTATACTTTTCACCCACATTACATATTGAAAAACATATTGAATAATTTGAAAGCAATGGTAGTACAAGATGAGGATTCAGAAGTAAAATTTTTAGTTTTTCGTACTGCGATCGATGTGACTTTATTTGCCTTATCGAAATGAAGTCTTATCGAAACCTAAAAGAACTCATAATTAAACTTCGTTTAAAAATCTAAGAAATTTGATTGCTGCGAAGAGTTTCCTGATTGACTGAGAAATCCCAAGAGGTAAAAAGTCAACAAAAGTAACACCTTCCTTGGAGAAAAGAGAAATAAGAGTGTTAAAGCCAGATTGAGCTTTGGTTTGAGCAGTTTTTATATGCACTTTGCGGTGTTGACTGCATTTATTATAATTTTTATATAAAATTGTATTATTTTGAGAAAGAGAGAGTGAGACAAACTGCCTCTCCCCCTACGTAATTTAAACTCAACCACTACTATTAATAATTGCCACGACTTTTCTATCAATTATTTCTTTTTTGTAGTGTTGTCGTGCCGATTTACCTGCTACGCTTTCGCAATTCTGTGGCAAATTTGCTATTTAAACATTTTTATGGTTAAAAATAGATTGAAAACTGAAGACTGTATAGTACTCGTAAAAAAAACAAAATTTTTTATCAAAACGCTTCGATGAGTTTTGATTGATATACACAATCCGAAGCAAACACAGTTAAGGCATTTGTGGCAGCTAAAGCAATGCGAACACAAAAGGGTTAAACTCGTTCAGCAATCATTGTTGCTTTTGTCACGGTTACTCTTGGATGCTTGTCAACTGTTCACGTTGTGACGAAACACATAATAAATTTATTAAAAAAATATTAAAAAATTAAAATAAGCAATAAATATCTTAATAATTGTAATGACCTTCGTTGTTGTTAGTACATTCATTTACGAATGCATTCGTTATGGTTCAAAGGAATTCAAGTTTACTGAATTGTGTTAATTTGTTTTATGGATTGTTCACTTAATTCGGTAAAATCTCCATGAAATTCTTTAATCTGCTATTTATATATAGTTGAAGGTATGAAGTCTTTCATCTTTCATTTAGAAGTGAATTATTAATAGGTCTAGGTTCAGTTACATCAATTTGAAACTGAGTGAAATTTACACAAAATCCTTGACAGTGGGCTGTCTATGTTTCATATTTGCTTGATAGCTTCGTGCTTTAATATAGTAATGTAACAGCTTTCAATAACCAAATTTATTTGATGAAAAAATATAACTATGTGTACATTTCATTTGAGATCTTTAAAATAGTGTTTCGTAAGGATTGATATGGTGTACTGTTTATTTTAACAAAGAAAGTCAGCATGAACTAAACCGAAATGTTCTGTAGGAAAAGGAACAATACAATGGAAAACATGTATTCAAAAAAAAAAAAACAAACTGAACTAATGAAAATGAACTGCAAATTAGATATTAAGAATCAAATACAATCAAAGAAAACAATTCTTCCAAAAAAGAATACATACTGATTACTACCTAACATAAAAAGGTGTTACTTTTCGATGTGTAAAAACTAAAATATGTTTCAACAATCATCAACAAAATCATCAATGCTCCGATATAGGAAAATGTGGTAATAATAGCTCATAAGATGTTTTCGACTCCTGTCTTACGTTCGTAAGCGTAAAGAGAGAGAAAGAAAGTGAGAAAATGACGAATCAGATTTAGATACTATTCACTGTCTACATACAATACGGATTTTTTCGTAGGTTTTCTCCCACATACATGGTAACACAATGAGCCATTAGGCCTAAGTGGATCTACTAGTGATCGCCGGTATAACCTAACGTAACCTTTATTGCGGACTATGTAGATTGGCTTAAATGTTAAGGAAATGAATTGCAGTCATACGAACCTGAAATTCCTAAACAAACTACTATGAAGTGTTTATGTATGAATACTCGATAAATCTATGTGAAGGGCATGCAAGATTTCTACAATGTCAGAATTATTATTTTCTTATTTCAATAACTAAATTTTTAAATTATTTGAAATTGAACTATTTTAATAAGTTTTATTTTAGACAAACTTAAAAATAAATTAATTTTCATAAAGACATATTTCAACCAATTTTTTATACATTACTCTAAATACGTTAAATATTTACTACGTATGGCATCTTTAAAACATCTGTGTTTATATGTGCATAGAAGTCTAAATATCGATTTAAATATCTTTTCAATGTGATTGAGGTTCGCTCAGCAATCATAATCCGATATAAGGAAGCTAATAGTCAACTTTACAGAAATAAATGGTCAAGTAGTAAAAATATTTTTTTTAACGCTTTTAATTGAAGATATTTAATGAAATTCAATTTTGGACTACTTTTAGGTAATTTTTAAGAAATACATTAAAATTGCAAAAACTACTTTACTGCTTTTAATAGTATTTTACCAAAGTAAACTTATAATTATAAATAATTTTTTAATTTAATATATTTTTATGCATTTTTATGTCAAAATGCTTTTTTCAATGAATGAAAAATAATTTTGTTCTATTCAACATGTTTTAAAACTCAATTTCTTTTCAAAATACATATTACCATTTATTTTTTTCGGACTGTACAGCAAAATTTGCAGTAAATGACGGATCGTACACGCGTAATGCGCGCAACACGCGCATCTCGACGCAGATCACGTTATGGATCAACGAGATTAGGGGATGAAGAAGTAGACGAATCTCGATTTCTTATTGGACTTGTTGCTGAAGAGGTACAGAACACATTTAAAAATCTATTAAGTATTTCTACAAGCATAATCTTTCAGGAAATTACACTGGGATTTTTGTTAGCCGGCATTGGAGAGTGTCCTTACCGCATTGTATCCCCAAAAAATTACCTGGGTGTGAAAAAAGGTAAATATTTTATATGAAATTTTTTTTTGTTGAGACTTAAGACATAACAAACAGATACACCAGCAGCAGAGATAGAGCATTTTTTCATTGACTTGTACAACCGAAAACATATAGGCATTATCTTAATCAGTCGCGAAATAATGGATAGATTGGCATTACCTGAACTAAAAAAACCATTGCCTGTTATACTAGAGTTTCCATCACGAAAGGCATTACTTGATATGATACTTGCCAGAGAGACCGATGCGATAAAAGAACACAGGTTTTTAAAAGCTCATGAGCTCAATAGATGAATATGAGTATAAAAATCTCTACTACAATATTAATTGTAAACTTAATATGTTGTAACTTCATAGTAAGAACCCAGGTTTATATTTATGTAAAACCATATAAAGAACTCAATAAACAGCATGACATTAACAAATCTAACTGCAAGTAGTATTTAGTTCATTCGTCAACCCCATGACTGTCACACTATATTGTATTATTGTCTGATGGAATATATAATTATCCGACATTGCTACAACTATTTTGACTGAACACTTTGGTCAAACTACATGACGGTACACATTTCTTCAACTGTCTCCTTGATGGGATTGAGATGAACTAATAGCTTCCTTATATAAGTGCATATACTAAGACCAAACATCTAATTCACTTAATTTACTACATTAAAAAAAGGGAAATTCTTAAATTTCAATCTAAGGTACTAGTTTATATACACTCTAAGTATTAATATGTTGTTAAAAAAATATCAGTTCAACAAAACATCTATAAAAAAATTAATATAAATAAAGGACTTTGGCAAAATGGACAATAAATATTAATATTTAATTATAATAAGTTAATTAAGCGTATCGGATCTTTAAATGCGGTCAAGAAAAAAGAATTGGAAAATGTCTTCGTACTATACGAAAATAAGGAGAAATGTCAAAGTGAATAAACAATCAATATCGATTGAATACAAAATGATTATATATCTGAAAAAAAGTTTGTTGTTTAATATCATCAAAACATAAAACGATACTAAATTTGTTATTGATGGTGATTAGCACAAATACATTTAAGGTAATATCAAATTACTATCCATAGAAATATCATATAGTAGTCATGTGAAATCTTAACAAATCTGAGTTTCCGCTCTACAAATAAGATTTTTAAAAATTAGGAATTCTGCGTAATTAAAACTTGACGAGAAATATAGCAAAAGTTTTCGGAATGACAAATTTACGGGTCCAAGGTGGAACTTGGCAAGTACCGAACTACAAGTGTCTGAGAGTCAGTAAATGCAATGCATCTCTTGTCTTGCATGGTATGGTAACTTCAAAAACTATGCCTTTGGTATGTTGTTTATCACACCTTCCCGTCTTGACCAATTCTGTAGGCCACCTAATTCAGCATTGGCAACGAACACTTAAGTAAATTTAAAACACTTTTTAAAAAGTTTTTCAAATTAATTTTAACGTATACGCCTGAGATTGTTCAAGTTAATAACTTTGCGCGTGGGCGCTTTTCGCCTAATAAAAAATGAATACAAAAATAAATGACAGACCGAAAAACGCCTTCAGCTTGTGATGGAAAAAAGTTAGTAATTCAAAATTTTGTCTCATGAAAAATATTTAAAATAAAATTACGCTTCAGCCATTAAGCGACATGAATATGTTAATTAAATGGACAGTTACGTTTAAAGAAGAAAAAAGTGTCCATACATTATATACTTGTAAGATACATTGTGTACTAAAGACAACGCCAAAAGTTATAAATACGAGTAATTTATTTAAAATTATAACCAACACAGCGCAGAGCCACAGACAAAATAAACATTTAAATGGTCGAAATTTCGTCATTCGGTGTAAAAACTGAGGTGATGCTGAGTCACTGAGTCTCTTAAGATACATTAACTTGCAATTATTGTTTACGGGCTGGGAAAATAATGAAATTCAAATTTAAATTCATTCAGATAGTTTTCATGTTTCTGTCTAATATATGAGTACTTTAAAAATTTGTACATGGAATGCAAACGGCTTAAGCCAACAAAAACTTGAACTCACAAACTTCATGTCCCGAGAAAGTATGGATGTAATGCTTTGTTCAGAAACACATCCAACAAACAAAAATTTCTTTTCTATTCCTGGTTATTTATTTTAAAAAGCCAATCAACCTGACGGGTGAACACACGGTGGTACTGGTATTTTGGTACGAGGGCATCTAAAACACAATTTTCAAGGTATATATGCTAATAATTATATGCAAGCCACATCAATATGCCCTAAACACAAAGGAAAAACTTTGTCCTTGTCGGGAGTTTACTGCCCATTCGTTTCAACATTATTGAGACACAATTTACGGATTACTTTTTAACACTAGGTAACAGATTTCTTGCAGCAGGAGACTACAATGCGAAGCACACGCTTTGGGGTTCACGGCTCTGTAATCCAAAAGGTAAACAGTTTTACGATTCTATTCTAAATAGAAAAAATACAGTAAACGTAATCTCTCCCGGGCAACCAACATATTGGGCTGCCGATAATAATAACATACCAGACCTACTAGATTTCGCCGTGACCAAAGACATTCCTATAGCCTAATAAGTCGTAAAACAAACTGGCTCAAATATAAAAAGTACATTAGCACACAGATACACACGAAGTGATGAAGAAAATTCTAACGTTTTTCTTGATTACCTAAAAGAAGTGTTCCAACCAAACCCTGCAACAGGACATTATGATTTTCCCACTCAGCATCTACATGGACCATCTATTGACATGATTATCACGGCCAATGATCTTGTTCAAATAATCAAAAACAAGTTAGATTTGCGAAAAGTACCGGGATATGATAACAACTCACCCATCATGATAAAAAATTACCCGTTTTGGCCACAAATTTTATTACAAGACTTTTTAATGCCATTATTTAATTTGGCTTTTACCCAACAGAGTGTAAAAGATTCATAATTATTATGATTCATAAATCAGGTAAAGATCCCACGCTTGCCAATGAGCTTACTTCATGCCTTTCTAAACTCTTTGAAAGAGCACTGCCTTTAAAGCTAAAACTGTTCCTTGACGTTCAAAACCTAATACCCTTTCACCAGTTTGGTTTTAGGGAAAAACATGGAGCTATTGAGCAAGTGAATCGTATAACGTATGAAATAAGACACGCATTTGAGCTCAGAGAATATTGTTCCGCGGTATTCCTCGATGTTAAACAAGCATTTGGTAAAGTATGGCATAATGGACTCATATATAAGATACGCTGTTCATTACCTGCAAATGTCCACTCAGTTCTAGAATCGTATCTGCATAATAGAAGCTTTAAAGTGAAATGTAAATCATATACTTCTAATAATTTCCCAATAGAAGCTGACGTTCCACAAGGAAGTGTTCTTCGCCCTATCTTGTATGTACTTTACACATCTGATATCCCGATAAGTAGTTAAGTTGTCATAACAACGTTTGCCGATGACACGGCAATTTTATGCCGAAACAAAAACGCTGTGTTAGCTTCAAACCAACTTCAATCTCACTTATTTGGGGTGGAGAAATGGCTGTTAAAATGGCGAATTAAAATTAATGAACTAAAATATAGACACGTCACTTTTACCTTAAACCGGAGTACATCGCCAACAATTTCATTAAATAACATTCCCATATCACAAGTATACCACAAGATAACATAACGTACTTAGGTATTCACCTAGATAGACGACTAACTTGGCGTAAACATATTGAAGCTAAAAAAATTCAGATGAAGCTCCAAGCCTCTAAGTTTGTGGCTCATTAATAACAGATCTAGAGTGCCTAGAGTATAAAGTACTCTTGTATAACAGCATCATGAAATCAATATGGACTTATGGTATCCAGCTATTTGGCAATGCGAGTGCTTTAAATATTGAAATTATCCAAAGATAATTTTCCCCATGGTATATTAGAAATAGAAGTATCCACCGAGTTATACAAATTCCCTTAGTTAAAACTGAATTTGACAACATAAGAAAAAAATACAATAAAAGGCTGACAAAGCATGTTAATTCCTTAACAAGAAATCTCGCACTTTTATCCATAACTTCCCACCTAAAAAGAGCTGATCGTCCAGCCATTAATTAATTTTCAACAACTTTAAGTCATAACCGCACCTTTCTTTTTAGTAATCTGATAAAGTTGAGCCAATTTCTTAAGTAACCACCTTATATTCACTCAAACTTAACCCATTAGTCTAAGTGAGGTTCGTGATATAAGGTTTACTTATTTTATTTTATTTTATTTTATTTTATTTTATTTTATTTTATTTTATTTTATTTTATTTTACTTTATTTTACACAATGTACAGTTAAAATAAAAATTTGTATATTATGTAATTAGTTATAAGATTTTACAACTTATTGTTGGTCTCATTCTAAGAGAAGATGCAATAAATAAATGTATGTTTAAATAGAAAAAAAAATAATTCAAAAATAGTTCGATTCGAATAATTTATTATTATTATTTATTGATTCAAAAATTCATATAGCACTTACAGAAATTATAGAACTTTACTTAAAATCTGAATTGACAATAACATATTTGTTATGTGTCAGAATGGCATACAAAAAGTGGTGCATATTATTAACATTATTATTCATATAAATTGATCAGTAATTAATCTTCTGTAAATTAAAACACTTTTCATAAATTTATACGGTTTATAAATATTGCTACCGTTTAATAAGACTTTCACTTCTTCTTCAGACAGAAGTGCTTTACCAAAAAAAAATACGTCTATGGTATGTTCTCTGAAAATTGGACACACACCAATAATATATATATATATTTTCTATTTCATGAAGATTACACAAAGATCAATCACGTTCAGATATATTAATTTCTCTACCATTTAGTTTAAAATGACCGCCTCTAAATATGTACTGAGTGTTTTCGTAATAAAAATTATGCGTAATGTCAAGAGATCCTGACCTAGCATTCGCAACAAAGGAATCGTGTTCACTCCGTTTGTATAAAGTTATAATATTGTTGTGCAATAATTTAAGATCCATACTCTGAAAACTGGTTTTTGAAAGGCCCAGTTCTAAACACATATTTTCCCAATCTTTGGCCCAATATATGCCTTTGTCAATTGTAGGTTCAACTAGTATTCTAGGAAGCCCTGTGTAGGGGCGATTAAGAATTTTTCTTACATTTGAGTTGATATTTGAGTTGATAGATACTCCACCTGATGAAAAGTCATACAGATCATTTAAGTATAGGGTAATCAAAATCGGACTAAGAATGCATCCTTGTTTTACACCTTGAGTGACTTTAAATGAAAAAGACATAAGATTACCGTCCCTTATGCAAGCATAATACCGTATGTTCGAGCATAATTTCATTAGAGTGGTCAAAAACTTGTGGTCAAACCTAAAGTGGCTAATTTGAAAAATAAGGTATTTCTAGATATAGTGTCAAATGCACAAGAAAAATATTCAAAAAAGGCACATGTTTTTTATTGTGTCTTAAGTTTAGGTGTATAAAAGAAGTCACATTGAAAATGTTATCAACAGTTAAGTAAGATCTGCGGAATCTAGCTTGGTATTCATTTTAGATATTATTGAGCTCAACCCAGCTATTCATACGCGAAAGTAGTATACCAGTAAATATTTAATAGACAGAGTGAACCAATGATAATTCACGATAATTTGAAACTGTATTGGGATCTCATTTTCTAAACATGGGTTGAATTATCGATTTTGAAAACGAAGATGGAGTGACACCGTGAAGAAATCTAAAATTACATAGCGTAACTCGTTGAGGAAACCAGGAGGAGTGTTTTTTTGGAACTGATAAGGAATGCGGTCGTTCCTTGGCCCTTTATTAGATTAGGTGTATGCAAGCATAAGCTGGTGTTCACGAAGTTCAAAAGGAGAGCCAAGGCAGAAATTGACAAAAGGCGGAAGACACCAAGAGATAGCTGGGAGGTCAGAACTGCATGTAAGCAGGGATTCATAGTGAATACGAAAGTATTTATATTGTAGAGAAGTAGCTACAAACATTTTTTTGAAAGTACCTGACATTCGAATAATTAGAAATGGTTATTTTAAAACTCCAATAAATATTTAAGAATAATTAAATAAATTAGGACAATCTTAATTATTTAATTGCATTTGGAGAAATCTTTGATATATGTTATTAATCATTTGATCTTAATAGAAAAGGACTGAACGCAAATATACTAGTTCCTTAAATACTTAGTCATTACAGTATTCCATTAAATTATTTCACAAAAAATTTTGCACACTAGACTGAACCTTAAAAGTAAAACTATTTAACACGATTGTGCAAATCAAAAGTGTAAACTTTGATTGACGAAAATAACATTTATTGAAAATTTGAAAATTCGTCTTTACACTTTCTTTATCTTTTCATTGTACAGAACAACTACAACACTGCGGAAATAATAAAATTAACATAATTAACATCATTAGCGTCAAAGTTTGTGCTTCCACTTGGTAAAAGTAAAAAAAGTTTGAAGCAGTCGAGAGAGAAGCGACATCTCACTTAGCTGAGTCAAAGACATGAAACAATTCTTAACAATACATTACAATTTCTGAGGTTCTTAATTCTTAATTCTGCAGAGCCAGCCGTTTATCTAATTGCTTCTACAGTGCTTATGCCGGTATACGTACAAACAGTATCGGTTTAGAGATATTGTATTGTGCAAAGTTATTATGCCCGTACATACAGCACAAAAAGATCATCAGTCACCCATACACCAACGCTTTATGTAAAAGTAACAAAACCACAGAGAAATGTGAGTATTCCACTAGAAAATCATTTCAAAGAAATTAAAAGTGTAAAATAGTAGAAAGTTAGTGGCGTAGTTGTAGTTTTATGAAACGCGAGAGGGTGAAGAAATTTTCCTATATAGTAGAGGAATTAAAATTAGAAGCCTTTTCCGGATACAATTCAAGAACTAAATAATACTCTATTTCAAACACAAAAATAGATGTATCCCATCAAAAAATCATTTTAAAGAAATTAAAAGTGTAAAAAAAAGTAGAAAGTCAAGAAATCTCATTGCATAGTACAAGATTTAAAATTAGAGGTATTGAAAATATAAGGTTTATTTTAATTACATTGGCAACCCCTTCTTAAATCTTTTTAAATTACTATAACTCTTTCCTATAATTCATCTTTAGACTTACTTAATAAACATATTTTATTACAACAAGAAGCCTTTTTCGCGGATTTAACTTTCTTTACCTAAACGAAAAACGTGTTGTATTTTAAATCAATGAACAAAAAAAAACTCTAAAGTACCGACCATAGTATACTGTTTGTCATCTTTGATAAAAAAACACTAAACAAACAGTCTGTTTAGACTGTTCGAAACAATTCAAAAAGTTTGTGTTCGCGGACACATGTACTCTTTGTGTTCTTTTTTCAAAGGTAGTGATCTTTTTAGTGTTCTTTTCCCAAAGGTAGTGGTCTTTTTAGTGTTCTTTTCCCGAAGGTAGTGGTCTTTTTAGTGTCCAAAACGATTTGGAGACATTTTTAATGTGAAAAGAAAAGATTTTGTTTGCATTTGTATTGCATGTATTTTGTTTGTGTTCTTTAATAAAAATATTATGCATATTTAATATTCAGGGATGAAATACAGAGATATATAATTTCATTGCGGTTGGATGATTATATTTATAATGCCAATAAAAAGCAAAAAAAAATTTTTTTAAATTAGATTATTGCGTAAGAATATATAGATTTTATTGTAACAATACATATCAATTAATATGTAAGTTTCTTCTAAGTATATATAAAAGTCAGGTAAAAACTAAATAAATGTTTTAAACTAGTTTCAATGAAAAATGCTGCCTCTTATCATTTTATTACCTATAATTGTCTTTGACAACTTAATAATTGATAAAAAAGAACAAGATTTTTAAATAGGAAAAGTAAAAAAATATGTTGAAGGGACGCGAATGACTACGCAAGTGAAAAATAAATAAAAAAAATTATCCTTTGAAGAGTTTTTTAAGACCTAAAATAACATATAAATAGATTTGTGTTTTTGTTGTAATAGTTCAGTTTATGTTCGAAGTTTCAAGCATTCTTATCAATATGCCACGTCCAGAAAATAAAAAACTGTGTTTTTTTTTACAATAGATGAGAATAATGGATATATTTGCAACAAAGGACGTTGTAAAGACAAAATTTTGGAAGCTCACATAGGCAATTTGGAAAGGCATTTGAAGAACCTTCATTCAGATCTCTATGCGGAATATATTCGTGAAAAAGATACCTCCAGTATACGTTCCACTCTCCCAGAAATAACAATTGAAGAAGCTATTGTGCAGCATTTTACTGGAAATATGAGGCCTTTCTACATGCTCGAGGATACAACATTTAAAGTAATGACTAAACTAGTATGGAGTGGTATAATAATAAAAATTAATGAACACAACATTGATGAGCGTATTTTAAAATATTCCACAAAAATTAAGGACCAAATTATTGAAGACTTAAAAGGAAAGCTCAATTAAATAAAAATTGGTATAGCATGAGACACAATTTCAGTGTAAAAAATTTAAAATAAAGAAATTTTAATTAAAACGTTTATGTTAAAGAAATAAAGGCCTCATATACAAGCGAAATTGACTTTATCAATTATAATAGATGTTTTTCAAGATTTTGATATAAATTTACATCAAATCTTGACAATTACAATAGATAATGCTCCTAATGTGAATAGAAGTGTAACAGACTTAAACAAAGAATTAAATGATTAGCTAGCAGCAGAAAGTAACGAAGAACAAATACTGGAATTAATACTGTCAGATCTCGTATCATCTGGAGTTCAATTTATAAGATGTGAAGTTCATACCATACAACTTTGTGTAAACGACGTTATAAAATCCGAAAGTATTAAACAAAACATTAACACATGTCGCTCTATGTCAAAACAAATTAAAGACTACGTATTATCGGAGTATGCTGAAGAATGGAGAGCATGAAGCAGAATTTATTGATTGAACTATATTTAAGCGAAAACAGCTGGAAATTTATGAGGGAACTTGTTTCTGCTTTATACAGCAACTACAAAATTAGTCGTAGTTGTAGTTATACAGCAACTACAAAGAGTTTTAACAACATCATCAAATTCATTAGTACTAGATGCGAGCTTAACTAGCGTAGGTTTGGTTAGGTTAGATTCGAAAGGCACGCGACTCAATATTCCTTCTACAATTTAGTTTGGAATCAAGGACGACGCCAAGATATTTGGCTTCCGAGGAAAGATTCAATGTAATTCCATCCAGTCTGGGTAAGGTGATAGTAGGTATTTTTGTTTTCCGTGTGAAAAGGACAAGCTCTGTCTTAGTAGGATTAACCCCTTAGCCGTTACTTTAAGCCCCCCTGGCGATTTCACCAAGTCCCGATTCCAATAGCTCACTAATCGATGACAAGTATTTGCACGAAATTAAGATGGTAACGTCATCGGTGTAGGCAACAATCTTCATTCTCCTAGCCCTGAAGATTTGCAAGATTTCGCGACTACCAAGAGCCAGAGAAGGGGTGATAGTACTCCTCCCTGTGAGGTGCCCCTTGTAGTCCTCCTGGTCACGACGCCCGTTCCTATATTAGCGTTGATGATTCTGCTTTCAAGCATTTTGTCAATCCATGCTACTATGAAATCCAAGACTCCATTCTTTCTAACGAACGGATCGCGTTCGTGTTTACGTTATTGAAAGCTCCGTCGATGTCAAGAAATTCGGCCAGGGTGTACTCCTTTAGTTCGAGTGAGCTTTCAATAGTGCCAACCACTTCGTGGAGAGCACTTTCTACCGACGGACCCTTATGGTGTGCGTGATGTGCCATGTTCATTGTGCGGATACTGGTCTTTCCTCTAATATACAAGTCCATAAGTCTCTCCAGTGTTTTCAAATTAAACGAGGAAAGACTAATTGGTCTGTAATCCTTTGCAGTAGAGTAATTCAGCTTTCCTGCTTTTTGATTAACTAGCGTAACATCCACTAGCAATACTAGACCAGTATCATTATCGAAATATTTCGCAAACTAAGACTATACACCGGATGATAAACCAACTCCAATTTCAGAAGAGGATATAAATTTGTACGAATGGCAATGACGACTTCCTTTGGAACACAATTGGGATTGTAAATTTTATGTATTTAAAAAGATTGTGTAGTAATTTTTCTTGCTATCATCGAAATGTTTAGTTATGACCCTGAAATTGTTTTCGGTGTCAATTTGAAATTAATTATAGGAACAATATGAAACGTATTATTTCCAATTAGACGAGCAAGGAGTGTAACTAGGTTATTTGAGCTGCGTTCACGCAGGTAGATTGGAGGGGTTTAAACTTTTTGGTAATAGGCCGATTAGCTTTCTCTGTAGTTTCAGCTAGTTCAGTAAATCTATTGCCAGAAAGTATGCTAGCAGGTGCACTATCTTATTTTATTTAGTTTATTTTAGCACCTATTGAGTTGCCTTGAGGACTAAGTTTCCGTTTAATACTGTCATAGCGTTCCAAGCCTGTTTGGATTTTAATTTTTTTTGTGGAACGCTAAGTCCTGAAGATACAATGTTTTGTTTTCAGGGGAAACGTGTTTGATCATTCTATCACCAGATAAGCATTACGTTTGTTTGAGATGTTTATCGTATGTCTTCTCTCTGGGGGAGGATTTGAATCACTCATTTGCATACGTGGTTATATATGAAAATAGAAGGTGTGCTATAAGATTTACTTAACATAACTACTATTAAAATAAATTGAATTTAAGTTAATTTAAATATAGGTATTTATATAAGTAAAAATAAATTGATTTAATATGAAAAAAAAGTAAATATATAAAATAAAATTTAAAATTTACACTATCATGAACGTAACATGAACATGAACTTGAAAACCGGTTTCCGATAGATGAGAGAGAGAAGAGAGTGTGATGTCAGTTCATGAATTTCAAGCAACGAAATTTGCTGCTTTTTTTCAGCTTGACACGCATACAAATACAATGTTATGTTTTAATTTTTGTGAGTGCTCTGAATTTCTATGCTATGCACTACTACACACAAGCGTTTTATACGTTTACACAAAACAAAACAAACTTCACTCTTCATGACAGTTCATGATAGTGTAAACTGAACTGTTGTTCAGTTGTTGTCAAGCTCATCTCACGTTCATGATAGTGTTTGAACGCTTGTGTGTCAGTATTTTGAGTATTTTGATAAAGTTGTGCAAAAAGGAAGTCGACAAAAATTAATATTTTTCAAATTAATATTTTATGCACTTTTAACAATTACTAAAATTGTTTTTTTGTCCAAAAAATATTCTTTTTTGTGTTTTTGTATTAATATCAAATGTAGTTCTTGTAAAAAAATTTGCTATTTACTTGTTTTTGTACTGTAATTTAAATTTCACGTCCGCTCACTAGAAATGTTTACAATATGTTAAGTGATAAGTTTACAATATGTTTAAAACAGGGCTTGAATTGCTGTTGCTAATTGCATTGCATAAGAAAATGAAAAAGAATATTCATTAGCAACAGCAAAAAAGGGCAAACTGTTTTCATTTAGAATGTTTGCTAATAGTCGATTTTACATATTTGACTATTATGCGTTTGAAATATATGCAACGTTGTCGCTTATGCGCTAGTTGCTTGTGTTTTGCTATGAAGGAATGTGTTGTTCTTGTTTTAAAGGAATGTGTACGCATTACTTCTTTCTTAGTTTTGTGTGTACGTACAATTTGTATGTAAATAATATAATTTTATCTGTTATTAGATTATGCCTACATTTATGTTTTAAAAATTTTTTATTGGTTTCGTGCCTTTTGCCAAAATAGGTATAGTATAGGTTATGTAGCACTTTCCTTTAACGGTAGCTTAACCGCACGCATGGTAAAAAGAGAACTTTTAATACTTCCATAATTGATGGCCATTTACTACCAATATATGTATATATTTTTACGTAAATTTAAAGAAGACATCTCGGTAACACTTTATAACGTAATTACGTTGAATTATTTTACTGTTTTATTATTTTTAAATATATCACCTGAGACAAAGACAAAGATGGTTTCGAATTTGAATATAGAAAATGACAATATGGAAGTCTAGAGAGTGTCAATAAACCGTGCAAAAATAACATAAATTGTCGAAAAGTGAATTTAACAATTTGTATGCAAACATATTAAATCATTTTTATTCTTTTCAAGTTGTGGTGTTTAAGAGTGTAACTAATGCTGAACTATAATTCAACTTTAACAAAGAAGGTGAATTAAAAACAATACATATTAAAAATTGTTAACGATTGCCAAATTGTAATAAAGATAATTTGTTTTAGTAACTTAAAATAAAATAATAAAAATTATATCGAAGAAAATTCTAGAATTAGTTTCTGTTTCTCAGAAAAATTATTAAATTAAGGCAATTTTTGTAAAGCTGAAGCTAACCGTCACATTTATAGCACCTGCAAACCTAACAATCGGGTGATTTCAGCTTATTTTTCTTTTATTCAATCATTTTTAGAAATACAGAAGAACTTAGTATAAGTGAATTGTTTATTTTTAATAGATCTATAACTTTTGCAAGACATATTTTATGCAAAATTAAATATGCCGGAGATATAAGCAATCAAATATGAAATTGACGGAAAAATGGTTATTTTCCAATCTTTGGGGCTCTTGGGGCGCCATTTCCACTTATCCAATTGAACTAAAATTTTACTCAGATGATTTTTATAGTAAAATGATCCGGTCTGGCGGTGCCGCGGAAAATTTTCCAACTTTCGAAAATTAATGGCACCCTAATAACATATTCAAGCTGCTTCAACACTGTAAGCCGAAAAAATAGAAATATTTCTAGAAATATTAATGGGTATACGAGTAATACCAATTTTAATATTAAAATTTTTAATTTTTATTTTTTCAACTAAAATAATTAATAGAATGAAAATAGTTCCATGATTTCATTGAATAAAATAAGGATACAGTGTATAAATTACATTGATGTTATCGAATGCTATTATTAGTGTAAGTACAATTACCAACCAAGCAGCAGAATACTAAAGCACTTGTCAAAAAAAGACCATTTAACAGCACCTCATAAGAAGGTTAATAAGATTTGCAGGTCTTTCGATAAAGTACTTTAAAAAGGCCTTTACTGAGAAAGCGTGAGTGAAGAAGTTGACGTGTATTGCGTACTCTCAAGCAGTGTTTAAAGCATGCTTGGGTCTCTTGTACGTATATACTTTTTTGTTTTGTATCTTTACTTTATTTCGTTGTTCTCTAGACAAATGTTTCTTCTTTGTTAAGTTAAACTATAGCTGGTTAAATAATTCTAACAAATTTAGCGTAAGCTTGAATTAGAAAATAGTTGGTTAATTGATAAAAAAATCGATGATTAATAATTAATTTACACAAATTAAATTAATTGATTAAAAATAAAACTAAAAATTGAGTATGGCAAGAAAGTTTTATGAAAAATATTTGGCATCACCTTTCGCTGATTTCCATTCGCAAACAACACCAAATGAATATAATT